ATTTGTGCTGGTATTAGACTGTGGCAGTCTGGGGTACACAAACAGACTTTGCTCTTGGGACTCCGTCTTTTGGGAAATGGAGAAGGTCGCTTTTAAAATTCTTGTGTACAGGAAAGGCTTTCAAGTCCCGCAAGCTGCTACGTTGGCACTGGTACGGCCATACCTTAAATGCGCCTGCAGCAGCATGTCAAACAGAAAGAGGATGTCTACCCACCTGGAGGAAGCAGAAACCTAGTAGTGGGTGAATGAAGACTTGCAGTTAAACACTTTTTACAATTCAGTTTTTTCTTGGGTGCCCCCTTCATATGAGCCCTGTGATTCTCGGGCAGGAAGCCTCGACTCTTCAGCATCTCAGTAAGAGCACAAAATCCTGTTTGCTGGGTCTGGTCTTCCAAAGTAACATCTGGAAAAATGCCAACTAGTCCTTGATTCCCAGTCACTTCACTATGTAGTGTGTTTATCCACAGCATCTTTTAGGATGCTTTTCATAGTGTCTGCTACTAGACGTCTCTAAATTGGGTGGACTTCCAGAGAGAACGTGATCTCTAGCAAACAAGGTATGTACACAAGATGCATAGAAGTCAACTTATCTGTCTGTAGTTGCTGCTGTGTCCTTCACTGACTGTCTCCTCTCCTGACTCTCTAACAAGATACGAGGTGGACTGCAGGACTCCCAGACAGCCAGGTTCAAGTACAAGGGTAAGATATAGCACATAAAGCTATACAGAAAAAATTCTGATACTATGGCTGTCCCTCAGCAGATGCACTCACTGCATGGACAACAAGTGCCTGCAGGCTATCCGTGTCCTCAGTGTTCCCTGCTGTAACAACTCTGTTGTCCTGCTCCTCCCGTCTTCCATGTAAGATGTCACATATCACTCCATATCCTCAAGCTACTGAAACAAATAAGGGGAACCATCTTCAGATGCTCTGATTAAGCCCAGTGTCCCCTCCTGAAAGTGCTGCCTAACTGCTTCCTGCTTCAATTTCTGGGAGCGTTTCCTAAAGCGGCTCTTACTGCTAGTCCACGTAAGACTGATGCTCTAGCCTCAGGCACAGCAACCCGAGTTCACCCTACTCCCTCTCTCCCCCCTCTCTCACTGTACTTGCCTTATCTTAAGCTGACAATTCTTTAGGTAAATCGGCTTAGCGAGTTGGAAGGGCAGCTCCAGCGAGAGCTACCCAAGGATTAAACAACCCCTCAAAACCTCAGCACTGCTGGATCCCTCCTGCACAGGCACCAGCCTACAGCACACCATGGAGGGGAAGCCAAGGGCAGCTGCCCTCATTAAAACCGTTCCTAACCACACCGAGGAGGGAGGAGAGAACTCCTTTCCTGCGCCAGGGCCACAAACCTTGGGGATAGCCTCAGTCAGAGCATAGCTGGCTTTGTCACTGAGCCATACTTTCTCCTTGAGTGAAAGGCCTGTGCCAACAGCCTGCAGCTCTGTCAGGATTGATCCGTAGGGCACCACCTGGATTTTAAACTCGGGCTCCAGACTGGAGTCAAGCTGTAAGTGTTCCCTCACGGCTGGGTCCATCACCCGGTCACCATCAATGAAGAGCCTGAGAAATAAATCAGAAAGAGCAGATAGATGTGGGCCCACATCTGACTACAGTTCGAGTAAGGGAGGGAAGAAACCACCACACTGCTCTGATGCTGTTTAAGGAAGGGAAGACATTGTTAATTATGCTTTATACTTTGCTCTAGATTGTTTTATCCATTGGCCTTCACACAGCTTGAATCCTGCTTTGAAGTTGAGACATACCACCCTACTGAAGCGAAAGGAGCTGATATCATTTTTGTTTGTATGACATTCAAAACAGCTGCATCCCATAACCACACTTCAGCCTCCAGGAGAGAGGGACAGAGGCACGTAATGGCTGTTCCCTAATTTTTAAGGGCAACATCTGGAAGGGGGAAAAAAAAAGTCTACTGCTGTTAAAAGCACCACATTGTTCTTTCTTTTACTGAATTGGAAACTTGAGCTCAACACTCGCATACAGCCCATACTCACACAGCCACATTTTACTCCAGATGCATCTAGCTAGTAGCTCTGAGGTGCTTCTAAAACATTTGTGTTTCCTGAGGCTCATTACAGGGGGCAGCTAGGGGAAAGCAGCCTTCTGGCATAAACCAGCCCTGAAACCTTTCTACACAGTCCCTCCAGTTTTGAAGCAACTCCTCAATGACATTAGAGAGAAGTTTTCCAATGTCTAGGCCAGTGTTGGCTCTTATCCACATTTCACACAGAGCTCCAAGAGTCCTCCACGTTATCTCGAGGTGACAGACAGAGGTCAGCCATCCTGCCCAAGATCACCCAGCAAGTCAGCCAAGGTGCTGGGGAGCACAGCTGAGTTCTTGGCTCCCTTTTCCTAGCTCTGATCAGGGGAGGAAAGTAATTAATGCTGAAGATAAAAGTGCTCAAAAGGGACATTAAAGCAGCTTGGGTGTAGGCGGTTTTAAAAGACAGAGCGTATTGCTAGAACAGATCTCCCACAGAAAAAATGCATCTTAGGGGACAGAAGAGGGGAGGAAATACAAGTACCTGATTGTGCTCATTCCAATGATGGCATATGCAAAAAATACAGGATTGTACTCAACATCAGAGCCTCGGAGGTTGAAGAGCCCTGGAAAATAAGAGCATCAAGAATCAGGGTCCTGGTTCATCCTTCGTAACACTAGAGAAAGCCAAAAATAAGCTCAGCAAAACACAGCCAAGCAACTAGCTGGCATGGGTGCAGGTCATGGGTCTGGCTCCAAGGCAGCTGTCCTACATCCTGCTGCCTTTCAGGCAATCCCGAGCTTTTGCCAGGAGATGGCACCAGAACTGCAGCTTGAACACTGCTCTCCAGGATGGAAATCAGAGTCCAATTTCCCAAGGAAAGGCCTTGGAAAAAAGTAGGTATCAAAAAAGATATGGCTATGCATTTAAAAAAAAAAAAAAAGTAGTATTTGCCCTTTGCAGTCTGTGCAGTATGATAAGAGCTCGAGAGCTCTCCTTAACAGCCAGAAAGCTTTAAAGTTACAAAAGAAGATAACACTTCATCTAGTCCTTCTTTTGATACTTGAGAGAGGAGGCACAATAGGCAAGACCAAAATACTCCAAAAAGGCCTCTGATTTGGGTGCCTCTAGCATCTCAAGCGCAGAATTCACAGCCTTAGGTTTTTTTTCCCCCCCCAAAGATTCTCCCTCTCACAACTCCAGGCAAAGCTGAGAGGAGAAGTATATTTTCAGAATCTCCAAACTCCTGATTTTAGGGTCAAATAAAAACCCCAGGGTATCCAATTAGCTGAAATGAGTTACTTGAGGCAATAAGGCCAGCCAGCAGGACAGCTGGGAAAAGAACCAGCATGTCCTAAATCACAACCAGCACTGTATTCAAACTGTGCAAATTCTGCCACAAAAGTAAAAATAGAGTTTGATCCTCCCTAAGGAAGGAATAGGTCACTTGAAAGCAGGAAAGAACCACAAAGAACTCTTTACTGCGTGGGTACAAACTTCCTCACTCAGCTATTTCCCAATGCAGCAAGGAGGTAACAGCCTCGCTTTGTGGCCCTCTAGTTCTGTCTCCAGAAGCTTGTCTGGAGTTTAATATAGTGAATTTAATTTTATATAATTAAAGCGTCCCCCCTCAATTTAGGGACGGAAATCTACCAGGTACTTGGCAATAAGTTCCTCTCATGACCTCTTTTGGTCCATCTTAAAACCCTTGATTTATAACCAAGCTTGGCTTTGCTGGAAACATTTAATCTGAAGCCACCTCAGGGCAGTAATTTATCATTCATTTAATTGGAGATGTGCCTGAAAAGGTGAGACCGAATCTCTGCTCACACAGGCCTCCCCAGGGAGGAATCATATTTGCTACTCTCCAAGTACTTCTTTCATGAAACAAGCTCTACGCTCAGTGTTGCAGATCCAGGAGAGCCTACAGACCTCAGCAAGCTAGCTTCTCCTCGTGCTGGAGGCTTCATGCTGGCTGCACCAGAGCTAAGAACACGCTACCTTTACTTCTACCATTTCAGATCAGACATGAGGTGCATGCATTAATAGCACACGCAGCCAACACTGGCATTCCCACTGCACCACTCTGGGCCTTGGTGACTTTTGCTAACATTAATCCCTAAGAAATCACTCAGAGGCATGGATACACCAAACTAGCAACAACAGCCCCTGGGGAATCACTGCCTTTTCTGGCTGCGCTCCCTTCCTACACACTGGGCAGGGAGCCAGAGTATAGAGAGCTGATTATCCTGGGGCCCCAGATACGGGGACTCTCCAGTCAGACCCTTGGATCAGCTTCTCTCCCGGATTGAAATGATCTGGAAACATGAATCGAGTCCCGACTTACTGTTTTAACCCAAACATTTGCTGAACAGTGCAGAGGTAAAGACTCATTTTAAAAGCAATGAAAATTACAAAGAGGACTGAATGCCGCACACTCCACCCTCACCTTATGTATACAAAGCCACATGTTGCATTGCTTTGTTTATAGCTCAGCCTCCATAGCAGAAAGCCTCCATCGTTCGGTAGAATGAGGCAGCATCAGGATATCTTTCAGCCAGAAAATCTCACAGGTTTTTTTTTTTCCTCATTCAAACTGCCTCAGGCTTTACACATGACCTTCCTTTCCCTTTGCCTAGGCTGTTTCTCCAAAGGTGGCGATTTGCTGCACATCTTGGGCCAAAAACGCATTCAAGAGCTTCCTCGATGTGAAAAGGCACTGCATAGAAATACAGACTCACTGCTTGTGACCCAGTTTCTTGACTGCACTTGATACAAGTTAATTGACCTCTAACAAATAAATTGGCTGTAATGAGTGCCTCACCCTGGCAGGGTTCTTCCTTTCCCAGGCAGGAAGGAAGTTTATTTGGAGGAAGAACTGAGAAGGGAGATGCAACAGCCCAGACCAGCTGCAAAGACTTACAGGCTACTTCATCCAAGGCTGTTACCACAAACCACGGGACTTTCCTCTCAGCCATTTTTGAACGGAGGGCTACGATTTTGTCTCTCCAGCTGACCCCTGCAAAACACAACATGAAAGGCTACAGTCACCAACCTTACTGGCATGGTGATGGAAGCACCGACTGATGCATAGGATTTTGGAGGTATTCGAACACAGTGTGCTTGGCCTGTGTGCCTCACTCCTGCCTAATGACTGATATGAACTCTCTCAAACAAGCTTCCCCATCTCCAAGACATGCATGGATTGTTTTGAAGCTGTCTAGCCCCCGAAAAACAGATATTTGAGGTTGAAGACAAAGAGGCCATTAGCTGAGGTACAATCACCTTGACCGAATCACAGTGGATCATTCTGGGCTGCAGTAGTGTTTTTCCTCACTACTTCGTGATGGGAAAGCAAAAGGGGAAAGGACAGTAGAAATATCTCCTGACTCTCGGGACTCAAGCTTCTCACCTGTGTAACCCAGGTCCAACGTGATGAGAGGCTTGCAGGGGCGCTGGGGACAGTCTGCCCAGATTGCATCGATCAGGTTTTCTTTGACAGGCACAAGATCGTGGCCAGCGCTTTTCAGGGCTTTGGACATCCTCTTCCACTGGTCTGCCAATGGGAAAAGAGTCAACAGCGGTGGCTTTAAAGAACACACGCTGGCTAAACAACGCTCCCAGTCACGGGGGGAATCTCAAGAATCCGAGCTTCCTCCCTCCCATCCCCTTAACAACAAAGCAAAAGCTATTGCAACTACAGGGCCCCAAATGCCGCCACTGCAGCCAGCAGCAGGTACAGAACCTAAGTCCCTGCAGCCCTGGGGTCTCCTACTTGAGCTGAAGAACTGCCCCAGCTGCAAGACAGAAGGCACTGGAAGACGACACTCCAGAGGCTGCCATAAGGACATCCTCCTCCACGCTGCAATGCAGAACCACGCTAGACCTAAGCTAGATGAGGGTTAGAGTGGGCTTCCACATAGCCACAAGTCTGATCTTGAGCTCACCTGAGCCAAGGGAAGATCTTCCCTTGCCTCCAGTGGTCTCTGGATTGAGCCCCAGGCTCTGAAACATGAAAAGACCAATGGATACACATTCATCTGATACACGTGGTGTGCCTCTGCAGGAACACACTTCCTACTGGCAGAGATGCAGAGATCCTGAGCCCCTCCCCCCCCCCGAGCAGACTGAGCAAGGCAAGTTTTGCCTGGGTGTTCTGGCTCACTTACATGCTTGTCAAGGCATTCACCATCCTTGTGTTGAAATGCCCGTGACAAGCCACAGCATAGATAAAAGGAGGTGGCTGGGACTCTGCTTTCCAGGGAAAGTCATTGCAAGCCCAGACAGTAGTTCTCATCCATTGTGTTTTGGAGCATGTCCACGAGCTGCTGTGGAGCTCTCACGTTACATGCCTAAAAAACAACATCTAAACTGTTTTATACAACGACAGTATCACCCTCCACCACCTCTGGGCGGAAACATGGTAACTTTTAGCTGTACAGCATCACACAACAGCTTGGCCAGGGGCATAAGGAAGCAAAATCCAGTTGCCCAACCCAGAGTTATACAATGAAGTTAAACCAACCAGCTGGAATAATGAAAGGGTCCACTCCCACCTTCGAGCCTTCTGGGAGGATGCTCACTAGCCAATCCTCCTGAGTCGGCGTATCTTTCAGACCTGAATAGATAAAAGAGGTTCAAAGAAGCAGCCGTTCTGAAGTGTTCCAACGTTACCCAAAAAGTCAAGTCCAAGCTAACATTTCAGGCAGGTCTACTGATGTAGGTCTACACCCATGGGCAAGAAAGGCTGCAGAACCTTAGAGCAGGAGCACTACCATACCCGAGATGCTCCTAAACCCCCGCAGTGACGGAGTGCTCCTACAGCCCACGTTGTGCCACATGAGAAGTGGCCAGATAGCCTGTGATTGCTGTCTGTGCGTTAGTGGAGCAGTATCCCAGCCTCCTGCATACCCATTTTCATGAGCGTCCAGTTGTTATCCATCTGATGCGCAGCTTGCAGGAAGTAGCGTCCATCCGTCCACATGGCTGCATGCTGTTCAGTTACAATAGCAGTACCTAAGCAGGAAGGCAAAAAGATGTGGTTAGAGAGAGGTGGACATTGTGCAGAGACCCAGACAGCAGTGGGTGTGTTTGGAAAACACCTGTATTCCCCAGAAGGCAGCTCTGCTCATTGTTCAAATGTTACTCGAGTTTCAAAGGAAATATTCATTGTTTCCCCTATGCTATGACCTTCCAAATCCCATCATGGACAGTATGCACAAGGGCTCAGCTTAACAAATTGCCTCAGATGAATTCAACTTAAACATTGCTCAGCCAGTAACTGCAACTCAAATAAGGCTTTCCAAACCCTTTTAACAGCGAGCATGGTTTTTCACTTGACTGTTGTCATACTAACACATACTAGGCACAACTAGACTCCATCCCATCTTCTGACAAGGAGGAAGCCCAGGCCCCGGTCACCCACAAGGGAGCGCCATTACTAGACTGGAATACATGGGGTATCGTCACCAACTGTCAGCCGCACCCCCTTCCCAAACGTTGCAGCTGTAGCACGGATGGCTGAACGGGAAATACGAACATAAACCTCTGCTGATTTCAGTGCCTGTCCCATTCCACTGACTCTTTTGTGGGAGCAATATGCCTTACAGAGCAATGAAAGCAGATAGCTGAGGGGCAGTAACATCTCAGCAAGGCTCCTTGCATTCCAAGTGCCTTACCCTTTGCTGTTCAAGAAACTCAGGGCACAAACAGAAACTGAATTCTGGTCTGGGTCTCTGCATCCTGATCATCTTTTCCCTCACCTATATCCAGAGACTGAAGCCCAGCTTAGCAGACAGAGTTTCCAAATGTGAATTCATTGCCTTCTGAACTCCCCCAACACAAACCCCAATTTTAAGCTGCTCGAGCCTGAAAGATGTGAAATAAAAGTGTCTTCCATCAGGAAACACAAGGTGAGCCCCTGTGTGAAACCTCACTGACTCACCAAGTGGAAACACACACCTTCCAAGTACAGGATGAGATCCCAAAATAGAGATCACGATTATGAAGAGGCCATGCAGAAGGCATGAAGTTAACACAGGATTCATGTTATCCATTAACACCAATCTGCAGCCTTGAATTTATCACCTTCCACATGAGGTCCCAGCATAGCTCATAGGAACTGATGAATTGACCCTCCAAACACATAGGTAGCAACATTTAACCCAATTTACAACCAGAGGAACAGAAAGACCTAAACAGACCAAAATGACTTGCCAACAATCACACAGCAGAGTGAGCTGCAGAGCTTAGGATACAGCTATGGTAAAAACTGGGTCTCTTGATATGCAGACCTATCCCACAGCCAAGAAAACATCCTGTCTCTGCAAGATAAGCAGACTTTTTTCACAGAGTTCAGTTTCCAAATGCAGTGCTTCTGGCCCAATTGCTGTTTAAATAGAAGGGCTAGCTAAAGCCTACTATTCACCCTAACCCAAACAGGCAATGTAGAAGCCGACTGTGCTAGCTCCACATCAAAAGAAACAAACACAGATTATAAGCACCACATTAAAGAGTTAACAGGATTTCACTTTCCGAGAGGTTCATTTGGGGGTCAAACATTTTCTGAAAAATTGTTATTGCATTGATATTACATAACTCCAGTGGGTAGCCAAGACATAACTCTGCAGATGCTGAAATGAGAACAGAACAGTCCAAGCAAGCCAGATAGGTTTCCTTTTCCATCCTGCCTCTGTGCCATGAAAGGGACCATTTCTTTATGGGGGAATTATGCACAGCCGCAAGAACCCAATTCCTGGAAAGGTACCTGCAGAGCCATCAAATCCAGAGATGAATGCCCGTCTGCAATCACAGGGTGCAATGTACTCACTCTGGAAACAAAAGAGACTGTAGTTATTTATAGCAGCAGGAAAAAAAAAAAAAAGGGAAAAAGAAAAGAAAAAAAGCAGCTGATGACAAATACTTTGATAAGGTTTTTCTCCTAAAGGACACTGCAGAGAAATAAATGAGTTAAAAAAGCCTGAACTCTACACAACTGGAACATTTAATCATCTGCGATTATACCGCATTTATGCCCAACTGCCTTTTTTTGTGTAAAAAAGCTGCAGCACTTTTCCTCCACAAACCTCTGTAAATACTGAAGTGCTTCAGAGTTTGCAGATGTTTATTTCACATTCAGCCTCCCCTTTAGGCAACAAACAAACACTGCCTTTGAAGCTGCAATGTGAAAGGAAGAGAAACCAGAAGCATTCCTTGATCTTGGAGACCAGAGTAATCAGCACATCAAATCTGTAAAATTCACTATCTCCACTGAAGTCCCCTCGCCAGACTTTATGAGAATTCCTTTAAGACTTTATTTTCCACAACAACATTAAAAGAAAACCATCAAGGTGGGTGAAAAACACAAAACTTTTAAGCCCTTAGAATCTTTCATAATTAGATACTGAACCTATCACTTCTTCCTCGCCTGCTCAAACCAAGACTACATCAGAAATCATTGGATTATAGTTTGGTGGGTGAGAGGGCATGGAGGTCTGCTGGTCTTTCCTCATACCAAATCCATCACAACCTTTGTTCGTAGGCACTTCTTTTGGCAGCATTAAAGAAGAGCCTGTGAAGGTGCAGATACCACTGAGGCTGTCAAAATGAAAAGAAGAACACCTTTAAATGGCCGCCACATCTTTTTTAACTGGACCTTTCTTGCAAGACCAGAGGTCAGAACTGCTGAAGAGGCCTGTTAATTAACTAGCACAGTTGCCTGTTAATTAACTAGCACAGCTCAGTAAATCAACTTAATCTAGGCTGGCAGCGCTGGTGGTCGAGCTGCAGAGCCCCTAGCAGAGTACCTTACAAATGGTCTGAAACCTATGTCTGTCCCTGGGCAGGTACAGCTCCTCTGCCCTCAGCTGTGCTGCTGCAGGAGAAACGCTTTGGAGGCTGAGCTGAGAAACCACAGCCCAATTCTCAGATGGCTTTAGTTCCACTGTGATGGATATTGCACTTCTCTCTCGTCATGGCTTTATTTGTAAATAAATAAATACTTTATTTGTAAATAAAGTCACCTGCTCGTTACAAAATACTCCCTTCGAATCTGTTACTCTGCACAAAGAAGGAAGACAGTTCAAAAGCAGAGAAGTCAGTGAGAAGCACAAATCGTGGCACCTCTCAGTCACTTGGGACCAACACTTAACGTCTGCACCAGAAGAGCCACGTCTCTCTCCTCCTGGAAGAAGCCCCAGGCAGCAGCCACCAACCATTCCTCACTCACCTGCTGAAGTCATGCCTTGGGGCAGCAAAACCCATGGCCCAAAACAGGATTTAGCAGAGTGGTCTTTTGCTGCTGGCTGCCAGGGAAGATCCCTAGGATCTGCTCCCAGGAAATCCTCTATTTTACCCAAATACCAATGAAAATGGACACAAACGAGGCAGGTGTTGAGAGCAGTCTAGTTCCCTGCGGCTCTTCCCATCCAGCCCTGCAGACCCTGGGGAGGGCAGGGGTCAAGACACCCACCTTGGGAAGGGATGACTGCCCCCTGCGCAGCTCCAGCTGACAGGGTGAACCCATCGCAGTCCACCACAGCACCACCATCACCACTCACTCCCTTTAAAAGAAAAACTGAGGCATGAGCTGATAAGCAGGGAGGACAAAGTCATCCTGGGAACAGAATCAGGATCCAAACACCAAATTCCCAATGGATGCTTATCACAGAGCAGCAAGACAGTGTGTGAAGGTCCAGTAAGACTGGACTTGAGAATTATTTCCCACTTCAGCATTTCCTACTGATTTTCAGCCTGCTACAATTCCCCTTCCCCCACACTGTATCAGACACCCAGCTCACAGACGGGGATCCATCTCCCAGGGTCTGATGCCTAAAGGAAATGCTGGACGTTTCCTGTTGTAGATCATATCAAAAAGTCCATCTGAAATCACACCAGCAATTTCTCTTCCCTTTCTCTTGATCTACCCAACAGAGAGATTGCAGGCTGGTTTGTTTATGTAGATAAACAATTTCACTTTTGTAGGAAGGATTAAAGCTGAGCTAGCTGCATTAACAATATAAAACAGTGAGATGAGATGGATTGTAATTAAAAAAAAATTTGTTTTAAATCTACAAGGGAGGGGGGGGGGAAATCTACCAGTCTTATATCTGGTAAGAGCCGACCTAAACTAACAAGGACTTTGATTGGGTGGGAAATATCTCATAGTCCTATTCAAAGACAAATCCATGGACTGTGTTAAGAGTTTACAATGAGTCAGTGGAGCTAGGAGGGATCCAGAGGGGAAGACAGTTCATTCATCCGTCAGTCTGAATTCCTACACACCCCGCCTGCCCTGTCCACCTGTTCTGTTCCATACAGCAACCCCAACTGTGTGAAGATGAACCCGTATTTCACATGGACTAAAATTACAAGGGGAACGCACCTGTGGACGCCACACAAAGTACAGACCACAGCACAATCAGAACAAGGTTACTTCCCTGGGGCTTGTCCCTGACAGCCTTTACTGGGCCTTTTGTGGCTGCTCTCCACCGCACCTGTCAGTCTGGGATACACAGTCAAAACTGGGGGCTCCATCACAGAAACTCTGAGCTAAGCCAGCAAGAACCCAAAGAGATCAGCAGTGTTTCTCACAGGAGTCTGCACAGTTGGGCGTTAACCGTTAACATGTCAAAGCTCATTCTTTTCAGGGCATTCAAATGTCAACCAAAAGCAGCAACGGAAAGAGCAGCTCACTGCCCTTAGAGCTATGACACTGATGCCCTACCATTAAAGAACAAACACTGCTGTGTACTTGGAGGAGGTCTGTATTCGCTGCCAGAAACCTAACTGCATCAGTAAGATCTGGAACAGGTCAGTGCAACCTGTGCAAAAGTCATTGCCTCTATTGCTTTATAACTCTGCTGATTCCCCAGCTCAGAACAAGCGCGTGTCAGACAAGCCAATCCTGAGCAGAAGATGGCATCTCTGCCAACCCAAACATGGGGCCCTGAGCCCGGCAGGTGTTTCCTGGATGTGGAAGACCAGCCAGATCTGACCAAATTTGTTTTCACTATTGAGTCAAGGCCTGGGGAGTTGGAGCCAACCCCAGTTAATTTGTGACTGGCTCAAAACCCAAGCTCCAACCCAAACATCAGTCCCTCCCATTAAGAGGGAAACTCTTCCAATCTCTGAACATCCCCCCAGGAGCAAACTGCAGATTCAGTGTGAACTGGGTGATACTACCTAAAAATGGATCCTGCATTCACCATTGCAACACTCCAAATGCTTAGGCAGGCATTTTTAACTGAACTATAAAGGGATTAGGTGCCTCATTCCCAAGAGCCCAGCACGTCATCCCTTCGTGTTCCTCTGACAGCTCCAGCCACAAGATCCACCCCAACATCCACAGAAGCAAGCAGGACTCTTTGCATAGACTTCAGCCCACTTTTGAGTGGGACTGCTCTCCTTGACCACCAGTCTTTGGACTACCCAGTTTCCCAAGAGAGCAGTCAGTTTCTTCTAACTTATAACTGGCATTAAAAGTCCCAAAAATAAAAAATAAATATCAAAGCAGTCAACACTCAGGGCTGGCTACAAGAACCACAAATCCAGGGTATTAGCAGCCTTGGGTAAGCCAGACTCAGAGCAGGCTAACTGTGTCTGAGAAGCTCTGCAAGTCTTTTCAGCTCTTCACACACTAAATATGGAAAGCAAAAGATATGATTGGTGGCAAGTCTCCTGGTAGTATCAAAAAACTAAGCCTTTTGGTCTTCACAGGAAAAAATAATATTAAAAACATCACAGAGCCCAGAGCTCAAATATCCAAGTTTCATTCAGCAAGACACCTTCCATTCTCAGAGATGTTACAAAAAAGTCAGTCAGCAAGTTGCAGCATCAGGATCTAACAGCAACAGTCCAATCGAGGGTTTTCTTTGCAGACAAAAAAAAAAAAAAAGGAATAAAGCTTTCCCCAGTTTAAACCCTCTGTCAATGCTGCACAGAGGGAAAGCTGTTTGTTGGATGAGTTCTCTGACATGGATCCCAGCACAGCCTCAGAAACAGCTGAGAGAGGCAAGAACAGCAATAAATAGCTTGGCTATGGGGAAGAAATGGCTCAAGCCACCAAAAGCTTTGTATCATCAAACCATGGCCTCCGAGTCATGGAAGGAGGAGCTGCCTAAGAGCAAAACTTAACTGCAGACCTGCAAAGCTCTCATTTGCATGCAGGGAACAAACCCTTTCTTGGAACATGGGGAAGCTGAACATCTCAGCTCATCAAAATTTACCTGCAATCAGTAAGCCTGTTCTGGAATCCACAGGTTTCCAATGTCTAAAATTGCACCAATTCCCAAACCTCACAGATAAAACCCTGCACTAGCTAGTCAGGAGGTGCCAGAATCAGCAGCTTTTAGTAATCATTTCCATTTAGACGGATTTGCTCTGCAGAGAAACCTGACCAACTCGCCCGGCAGGAAATAGCAACACAGGGCTCTCTGCTTTACTGCACTCTGTCAAGGAAAAGGAGAGCAACAGAAAAATCCAGGAGTCCATAGGGTCACATTCTTCAACTCACATGACAGCATTTAATGTCTAGTGAAATGAAACCAGAGTTATATATGGACTGAGGCAGCTTGAGGCAGGAAAGCAGTAGACAATAGCAGCTGCAGAAAACACCTACCCTCTACCTGCCTGAGTTTAGATCTCCGTACGAGGAAACGTGATGCTGCACACTTGGTCCCAGTGCACAGGCAAGTCTGGACCCAGTTTACCCCAGTGCCAAGCCCAGGGCACAGGGTCCGATTCAGCTGCATTGAATCCTGCACACACTGGAGTAAAGGACAACTTTGAGCGTGAGCCAGGAAAGCTTCAGCTCTTTTGTTTCCTGAAAATGGCTGAGGAGCAAAAAACCTGGTCTGGCTTTGCTAGTTCTTGAGTCTCCCAATAGAGCGGCAGAAAAGTGAAACTCGCGTATGAACAGGAAGGGGAGGTAAAAAGCAGTTCAGCAATTTCAAATTAATGTCATGGACTACAACAACCTTAACATTAGAAGTAGCATGCAACACAGTTACCACCACGGGCCCAGCCTGTCCTCCTCTTGGGTGCACAGAACTATGTGATGTAGAGCAACATTTGAAAGGGAAAAAGTCACTGAAGCCTGTTCCTTTCCTTCCTCTCCAAAGGCCCCTCCACATGGGGTCTGCAGAGTTTCAGCATGAAGCAGCAAATTCCAGCCAGAGCCGGACACAGCTGTGATCTGGCAAAGAGAAAGCTCTGCAGCCAATCCTTTGTTACCTGAGTATGTGCTGATCAGGAGGTGCTAATGGGAAAATTAAAACCCAGATAATGCCTTTTCCTCCCCTAGTAAATCCATCCTTTCCAACAGGCAAGACTGGAACAGCAATTGCTCTGGCAAGCTCCTTTTCTTGTAGCATGAGCTGCCCTGGAGACAATCTGATGAGAAGCTGCTGGTGAAACATCCACAATGATTTCTTACAAGAACGTAAAAACCTCAGTCCCCTGAACAGACTCCAGAAACTTTTTCCAACATGGTGTTTCTCAGAGTTTACCCTGACGTTTATGTTAGGATCCTTAAAAGCACATGAATGAAAGATGAATTTAGTTATTCTTGGCTTGTGTTTTTTTTTTTTTTTAAACCAGGAAGAAAAACACAATAATTCCTGAAATCCATCCATACCTGGTGGGCATCTCCCGAGGGCACTATGTAGGCCTGGACAGGCTCCTGGACATACTTTGGACTCTTCATCACCTGTCGCAGTTGCTTCAGTAGCTCTGTTGTAATTTTCGGACTCATCTTAGTTCCTGCATTCAAACAAAGCACAAAACCTCAGAGTTTCTCCAGCCCTGCTGGGCTACTCACACACACAGGCTGGAGGCTGTCACTGCTGGAAACTTGCTTTGAGGACAACTGTGCCAGAGTCATCCCTCTCAGCACAGAATTTTTGCCATCTTGTCACTTCACTCATGTCCCTTGAGATCAGTCTGAAGCCAGAGCCAAGCTTGGTCTATCCTGCAAAGAAACTTCACCCCGGTGAAGGAACGGCATGCCCAGTGGTGATGCACAGTAGGCTAACACACATGCTACCTCTTCTGGCACGTGGCAGCACCAGGAATCTCAGAACACCAGAACACCTCAGATGTTTCCCCACAGCTTGAGGAGCCCTATGACAGCCAAAAATGGTCTTGGCATGTGGTGCTGAAGGTCCCAAGTCCCCACAGATTAGAAGCAACCGCATCGGTCATGCGCACAGGAAGTAATTTTCAGTCTTTTTACTTTGGAGGCAGAGATATTGTGGCCTATAGGCCACAGGATCACAGAATGCTAGGAGAACATGCCATACATTTCAAGAACTCAGAAATGGACTGATTAAGAGCTTAAGGATGAAGTGTTTTTGTTGCTTGTTTTATTTTTCTCTCCAAGAGGCCTTGCTACAGCCCAAAATTTCATCCTGGATTGGTAACTGGATTAACTTGCACAAAAAAATAAAAAAAAAAAAATCCGCTCCCCAGGGTGTACATGAAGATGAGTTCACTGGGAATATTCACCTCTGGGCTGCATGCTATTTTACACAGCAAGACCACAACTCTACAGGAGGAATGGACCACTGAGCCCCCTCCGGCGGCTGCCAGAAGGGAGGCACACAGGACCTTTGGCAGATACTCTGCAGAACTCAGCTGGGATCAGATGACTAAGAAAAGGACATAGGGTAGATGGAAGATGGCAGATCAGAGGGGAAAATAAGGGCACAGACTGATGGCACTCCTTTGCTGTGGTTTTGTGATGGACATATCCTTGGTATTGCAATGAACATCAGCCTCTCAATTCACCACCCAGTGGCTGTCAGTATCTGGGGGCCCATCATGAGCCCCACACCTAGTGGCACAGAAGGCCATGCGGCTGTCCTGGTGCAAGTGCAGGCTGCAGTTACGGACAACTGCAAAAGATGTTCAAGCTGTGGAGAAGCCTTGCCTGAAAGCCTATGAAAGTCATCTGATCTGAACTTCTTCAGAGGTCCTCTCCACCACTTCTTCATTCACCTCTCCAATACGTGCCCAAGGTGGGATAATCCCCTTCCTAATTCTCTTCCCATCCCTCTCACATTCTTAAGTATCCACTGAGATATTATAGCTTTCATGCCATCACTTTCGATGGCAAAACGTGGAAGCTCTGTGCTGCCTGAATGCTGTGCTATGCAGTATTTTATTCTGACCAGTTCATTTCACAGCTCATTTCCCAGCCATGTCAACAAAACAGTTTATAGATGGGAGAAACAAACAGCATTCAAGTCTCAAATATTTTTTGCCTACCAAGGCACTTACTCTGTTTACATGCCAATAACAACCAGAAGCCGCAAGCAAGAGCGTGGTCTTATGCCAGAGCACAGTAAAATGCAGTCCTGCCCTGTAACGTCTGCCATCTGAACAGGAAGGCAGGAGGCTGCCTCCATTTCAGAGAGCCGCAGGAAGACGACGTGATTTGACCAAGGTCACACAGCAAAAGCTGTGATCAAGTCAGGAACCAAAGCAAGAACTTGTTGCATTTTTGGTGTAAAAATCTCAACCCAAGAGCATCCTTCACGCTTCTCATCACAGGATATTTAGAGCTTATATGTGACAGACTGCCTGTCCACAGACACAAGTAAGAAGCAAACCAAGCTCAAAGGTACTACCTGCTACATCCTCAAACTGATATCTTGACTCCAGTGACTTCACTGGAGTTAAGTTATACCTTGGATTTACTTCCAGGACAGATCTCAGAGATTTATACAGTGTTTGTATGCTACACTGAACTTTATTATGTTTCGATTGCTTTTGTCAGTCCTCTATAACAAGGTAATCATTTACATTGCTACTGATTTATGTTCAGAGGGAGAAGGGGAGAAAAAAAAAAGGAGAAAGACCAACACCAGAGTGATTAGTCAGCAGAAAATAAAAGACTCTTTTTCATAAGCTCATAAAGGCACAGCTTCCTTTCTCCACCTATGCTTTGTCTCCAGGAGCCTAAATGTCTCATTTGAACAGGCAAGGAATGATAAGGCTTTGCCTTTAAATAAAGCTCCTTGCTGATAAAGCACAGCTTTCTTAGCAAGCAGAAGGGATTCTCTTCAGGAAGAAAGAAAAAAAAAAAACTTATTAAAAAGCACTCTCTGTGGAAGGATTTCCTTGCAATATTAAAAACACAACTAAACTAGATTAGCAATGAAACCCATAGTAAGGGGGACAACTATTTTAGTTAACTCCTACAGCATAAGAAATCACTTTAAAAAAAATCTTCTCCAAACTTTCCAATGAAATTGCCCTTAACTTCCACAGAAAGAGAAGTTATTTTCTCCCAGATCTTGAGTAGCCATTTAGTCTGGTGCTCCTATTATTTTTACCAGGTGACCTTTCTATTCTGGGCCATAAATCTGTATGAAGTCAGAACAGCTTCTCTGTCATTATTAACTCACTTCAGTGATTAAAACTTAACAGAGATGAAATCCAAGTAGTGGATCTAGCAGCGCCATCCCCTGCCTTGGCTTTTTCAAAGATATCAGCCTGCTGCTTTACCTGCCTCTGTAGCCTCTTCCCCGCGTCTGGACTCCTCTTGCCTCTGCTCACACAAAATACCATTCAGCTCTTTTTTTCGGCTTCAATAAGCTCCACCGTGCCTGAGAACGCAAAGGGCAAAGCTGAAGCGTCTAACAAACTTTGTCCCCCATAAAACATCCTTATCCCACAAGCAAAGAGCTGAAAAACGCGCTAACGTTACGTCCCGCTGGCAAGATTAGACGCGCGGAGGGTGAGCCACGCCAGAGGCGGGAACACGAAGGGCCAGGAGTTTGCTTATCGCGACTTAACGATTAAACTCCGCAAACGCGCCTCGTCCGGCAGAGGTCTGCTCTCGTCGCGGTCGCTCCGTGAGGGGCCGCTCCGCCCCGTTTTACAGCCCAGGCCAGCGAGGCAGAGCCGAAGCCACATGCCAGGCACGAGGGCGGCGTGGCGGCAGCCCGGGCCGGAGCCCGACAGCAGTTCGTGCCTGCAGGGGCGGCACCGCCTCCGGCTC